GTAGGGGAGAAAAAATAAAATACAAATCAGCCTTACTTCACTTTCTGGACATAGAATAATTCGGGATAGAAGGGATCACAGGAGGTTTTCTAGTGCAATCTCCTGCACCAAGCACAGCTGAGTAGACTACATTGCTCAAAACTTTATGCACTTTTAGACAACACAGACACTTCAGGCACCCTGTTCCAGTGTCTGACAGTCTTAATGGTGAAGAAGTTTTTCTGTGTAGCCAGTCTGAATTGCTGTTGTTTCAATCCACACTCTTTGTCTCTCATCCTGTCCCTATGCAATGCTGTGAGGACCGCGGTTCTGTCTTCTTGATAACTTCCTTGTCAGTCTTAGCAAACAGGTATTAGGTCCTGCAAAGCCATCTCTTCTCTGGGCTGATTTGAATTGAGGAAGAACATGTCTTCCTCAACTTCTCCTCACAGAACAAGTGCTCTAGTCCCCAGTCATGTTGGGGTCCTCAGCTGAAATCCCTCCCATTTATGGATGTCTGCCTTGTATTAGGCTGGGCAACTGTGCTCATAACTGTGTGCACTCTAATTGGTGAACAAGAGAGGAATTTCACTTCTCAGGCTACTGGCTCTGCTCCTGTTCATTTGACTGAGAAGACTGTTGGACTACTTTGATGCCAGGCTGTTCTGTTAGCTCATATGCAACTTGCTGTCTGCCAACACCCTTGGTACTTCTTCAGCAGAGCTGTTCCTCTCAGTCCATCCCAAGCCTGTATCTTTACAGGAGTTATTTCTTCTGTTGTGTGGGATTTGCTGAATTTAGTAATGATCCTCTAGCGTGCCAAAATTCCTTTGGATAGCGTCCTGCCCTTGAGCATCAGTTAGTATGTGACATCCTGAAACTCAAGGAATGTGCGCTCCAATATATCATCCATATCACTGGTAAGAAGAAAAGGTTCAGGTTCCAGGATAGACCTCTGCAGTAATTCAGTCCTCATAGATATCCACAGAGAGCACAGCCTATTAGCCACCCCTTACTGAGCTCAATGATCCGTGTTTTATGTGTCCATCTAATTTCCTACTCATCCAAACTATAATGTCCCAGCTAAAATGCAAGAGTACTGTGGGAGACAGTGTTGGATGACTTGCTAAAGTAGAGGCAATTAATACCTGCATTTTCCTCCTTATCCAAAAATCCAATCATCTTATTACAAAACGCAGTTGTGTGTCTGATATACCTGTGGTAGATCCATGCTGGTTGACTTCTCCTTAATGTGCACAGAAGTTTGTTCAGAGCAAGCTTGATTGTGATTTCTTCCAGGGGTCAATGTGACAGCCTGTCCTGTCATTCTTTAGATTGATTTTTGGCCTTTTTGATGAGAAATTGAGAAGTTATGTTTTCCAAGTTACCAGTGACACCTCCCAGTCATCTAACCTTTTCTTAAATGGTAGACAGTGGCCTTGCAAAGGTTTTAGCCAGCTTTCTCAGAATGTTTATATGCAGCCCAGCTGATTTCATGAACTTGTCTATGTAAAGTATGCAAACAATCTCTGCCTCAAACCTCTGCAGGTTTGTTGTCCCAGGCCTCCAGGGTGCTGAGAACAATGGCTTTATTGGTCAACTGTAGCTAATTCATCCACAGCCTTCAGCACTGGGTTCCTGTCTACCTGAGTTCAGCAGAAAATGAAAGTTCTGTGTTTTTAAGGCTTTGGCTATGTGTCCTTCTCATTATTTGCAACAACAGCAACAACAACAAAACTTTTCATTCAGTATGCATACTTCCATTTCTTAAATTCATTTCCTCATGGGGAATGTTTTCCAGATACTTACTCTCAAGCATTTGCTAGAAATTTTCCAGTATCAGTAGCGGGCACATGAAAACTTCCATTGAGTTTGCTTACTGTGAGACTAACTCTGCACCCTGCCCTCATTCTTTTTTGACTAATAATTGTGATAGTTATATGCAACCTACCTGGTTCTGAACTGCTGTAGTGAACCATGAGGCTGATTTACTGTGCTTCTGAACCCTTCTGTTTATTTCCTTTGGGAAAACTTTGGGAAAAGGCACTTTCAGAAAAAAAAGAAGAAAAAAAAAAAGAAAAAAAAAAAAAAAAAGATGAACAGCAATAGATAAGTACTGGTTTTATTAGATTTGATTATCTTAGGCAGGAAATGTCCTTCCTTTCAATTCTACATATTTAGATAGAATCATAAAATTGCAGGGTTGGAGGGGCCTCAAGGGATCTTCAAGTCCCACTTCCCTAAAGCAGATTCCCTACAATAGGTCACATAGATAGGTGTCCAGACCTCCATAGGAGACTCCACAACCTCTCTGGGCAACCTGTTCCAGTGCTCTGTTTGTATGGAACTTCCTATGCGCAAGTTTTAGGTCATTATTCCTCGTCCTATTGCTATGCACTATCGAGGAGTGCCTGGCCTCATTCATTTGCCTCCTACTTCCCTTTAGATAAACATGTGTCAGATCCCCTCTCAAGTCGTCTTTTCCCCAGTCTGAACAGACCTGTGTTTGTCCACCTGTCCTCGTATAGGAGATAGTCCAGGCCCTTAATCTTCTTTGTGGCCCTCCTCTGGACTCCTGAGAGATCTCAGTCTTTTTTGAACATTTAACTTCTATTTTCACTGATTACACGTGGACTAAAAAAAAAAAAAAAAAAAAAAAAAAAGGAAAGGAATGAAAATATTCTGTCTTCCTTCATTCTTTCCCCTATCACTTTTTTCCATAGCACAGATTTTCTGGAACTTCTGTAGGCTGAGAGAAGAGACAGGGCTTGCAGAAACTAAACTACTGTTTTCAACAGTGAAGGCAAATGGAACTGTGAATGCTGCTGTTAGGCGATGGTTAGCAGTAATTAATGAATAAAAATATACTGCACAACCATAAGAAAGTATATCAGAAATGGGTTTTTAACAAGAAGGTTTTCAGTGACTCTTTTCTTTTTTCTTGACATCCTGAATTTTTGTTGATTCAGTAGCTATGTAGAGAACTCCTGATATTTGACCTTTCTTCATACAAAAATTACACATTTTGCATACCAAAGATGTGGGTGTTATTTCACAAATTATTTTAATGACCCAGCAAGTACATATTGCATGAATGTGAAAAATTATTTCTGATTTGAAGAAGGAACGAATCCACAGGTCATAGTTATTTATTACAATGGTATTTTGTATTCCTAGTAGAGATATAAGCCGGGAAAATCCCCTTTTTATATTTGTGTACATGTGTATACTATAGCTTGTGTATATTCAAAAATGTGTAAGCAAGAATACTGCTTGATTTAGTATACAGTGTTTCGGACTAATGAATTGCCTAAAGACAGATGCACTTGCAAGTAAGAGTACAGTCTCCCTGCAGGTCTGGGTAAGATTGTTAAAGAAATTTCTGGAAGATGGAAAAATGTTAGTTCAGTTGATAAGGCATCAGTTATAAATGGATTTCATGTTTTGCATTTTTTATTTTAAGCCACATGGAAAAATTGACAAAAATACTAGGCAGCTTTTAATTTTTCTGTCTCCTTTTAAACTTTGATCAGATAATTCTAGGAATCTGAAAATCTTTTTTTTTTTTTTTTTTTTTTTTTTGCCTACATTTTTAAGTCAAATACAGTTAAGTATTAAGATTAATTTCAAAGGAAGAATATTTAGGAATGTGTGATGTTAGATCTTTGGCTAGTTGCTACAGTCTTTGGGAAAATTCAAGGGATTGACAAGTTTAGAAGTTCAGATTATTTTCTCCAGTATTGATCTGACACTCAATGAAATTTATAAAATAAACCTAAGTTTACAGTCATGTAGCTAGGTGCAGAAGTAAGCTCTGTGTTTTAACTCCTCTTAATGACAAGTACTGGAAAATTATCTGTACTTTACACATAATACTACTTTTCAGATCTTATATACATAGTTTTCATTTTTCCTGTCATCTAGAAAAAGAATGAAAACTGAATAAAACTTAATTTTTACCTTTTCATAGGTTATGAGGGTGAAAATTTAATGAAGATCTTAAAAGACATTGAGAACAGCTCTGAGATTTTGCTGGACAGGTGGAAATTTGAAGTAATACCCAACGATAAAGACGAGAAAGGAGACCCAGTGCCTTACAACATCATCAATAACTACTTTTCAATCGGCGTGGTAAGACTCATACATATTCTTAAATGATTATATATTTTTTTTTCTTTTCTATTCAAAAAATATTTCCATTTTTTGGCTTAGCTTGAAGAATTGTTGATTACAATGTAATCAACAGTAACATTTACAATGTTACTTTCTTAGTGAAATGAATACTTAGATGACTGACAGTGATTCAGCAACTTACATAAATTTACATAAACGCACACTCAAGACATATATTTTTTTAAATATCTACCTTTCTATCTATAAAAAAGTTATTTGTGTTGTTTCTAATGGCTTATGACTGATTATAGATCTAAATTTAATTAGCATTATTAAGTTCCTACAGAAATATAAAGGTAAACTCATCACTTAATAAGAGCTCAAGCGACATTTTCATGTGGATCTTTAGGATTCACATGAGCTATTATATGAACTATATGAGCTATTACATGAACTTATATGTATATATGAACTATATATCAGAACTATATATAAAATAATTTTACATAATAATAATAATAGCAAGTATATTCTTGGTTCTGTCATGGAGTATTCACAGTTAGAATGAATTGTGAGGAACAAGGGCATGAGAACTCTTAATGTCATGGGAATTCCAGCCTGTGCTTCTCTGTGGTCTCCCATTGGAACTATGATCCACACTGTATATATAAGTGGAATCAGAAAATCTAGTCTCCTCAAACTCGTCATAAGTCTTTTGCTTTGAATATGTTTATATGTTTTCAAACATTTGTGGAAGGGGGGCTGTGATGAGGTCCATATTTTGCAGAGTTTAATTTACTTGGTTACTGTGCTTCAGCCTTAACAAGGCTCTGCCACAACCTTAAATGGTTATATGGAAATTTTTGCATATTACTTGCAGTTCAGTTTTTATGTAGTGCTGATCATCAACATGCAGACAGTTTGTTCCTAAAACCATTCCTTGGTCTCTAATCCTGTATAGTTTTAATTGCTGAAAAATAATCATTTTTACTTAAATAGTAAGAAATAATTGTTAGGTTCTTTGCTTGTGTAGCTGGAATTTAGCCTGTCTTTTTTAAAATAAGTGCAGAAAGCAACCAGATAAAACAGAAATAATTAAAAAAAAAAAAAAAAAAGTATAAAAAAACATATAAAGGCAAAGTATATGCACCAAAACAGAAGCAAATATGCTGTGCTGGGGAACAGAACGTTTTTGGTGACTTAGTCATAAGAAAATACTGATGCTCAATGATGAAATTGATGAAAACAGATTATTCAGTTTCTTTGTAAAACTCTTTGTTGCCTACAGGGAGGTCAGTCTTTTTTTTTCTTTTCTTTTTTTTTTGTAGCTTATCTCCCAGTTTCTTCAACATTTTCTTGCAAAAAATGTTTTCTAGACATCTGATAATGTCTGTTACTTTTAACACTGTTCAGATAAAATGTGAGAATTCAATCCAATTACTCCCTTTGTTCCCTATCTCCCTCGAATTGTAGTCTCCTGATGAGGCAAAATGCTGCATTTGATGTTTTATCAGTACTGAGTGGAAAAGAGGAATTAAGTCATGCCTTGCAGATGATACTTCCATTAAGAAAAACAGTCTTCTTAACAATAGCATGACTTTTTAAATTCATATGTGATTTGTGATTCATTGCTAATTTCCAATACTCTTCTTAACAACTACTACCTCGTATCTCATTTGGGTTTTCCATAGTTTATTCTTTCTTCCTAAATGTAAAACTTATGCTTACTGAATTACATCCTCTTTTAATTTTTTTACTGTTTCTCTAAGGCACTACAAAGAATAATTGTAACCTTTAACATACTTCATATGGCCTCATAGATTCCTGCCAAGTAATAGGCACAGTCTCTAATCATTATGAACAGAACCTGCTAAATCGGTTTTGTAACAGAACAGCAGAAATGGCTTTTGACAACAATCTCGATGCCTGCTCACAAAAGCCAAGGGAATATAACTCAGTATTATTGTGCCTGACTTGGGGCTCTTACTGCTTTCGGACCATAATTCAGGTTGGAAGGAAATTCAGGAAGTCGCTAGTCCAGTGTCTTGTTCTAAGCAGGGTCAGCTATGAGAGTGAGTTACACTGTTGAGGGCTTTGTCCAATAGTGTCTCAAAAAACCTCCAAGGATGGAGATGGCACAACCTCTCCGGCCAACCTATTCCTCTGCCTGACTTTCCCTATGGTGGAGATGTTATTTCTTGTATCCAGTCTGAATCTCTGTTGTTTCACCTTACACACTTCTCCTATCCTCACATTATACAACATTGTGAAGAGGCTGGCTTTGTTGTATACATAATCTCCCTCCTTGTAGGTATTTACAGATTGCCATTATTTCCCTGAAGCATCTTCTAGACTGAGACAGGTCTGGTTGTTTTTTTTTTGTTTTTTTTTTAATTTGTATATTTTTCACTGATAAAGATAAAAATTTCCCTACTTGGATAGAAGATTGCTGGGGTAGATGATGTTCACAACACTGCTAAAGTTGGGCATAACATCTACTGCTCTCATCATTTTATCATAGGAAAGAATAAGAAGGTAATTTACTCTTGGGAAGGAAAATCCTTTGCTAAGTTGAAAATGAACATTTCACAGAAACATCTGTATTTGAAAGGTTGGATTAATATGTTCAAGCCAAAAAAAAAAAAAAAAGATGTGTTTCTACCACACTGTGTGAGTTCTGTTACCTACATGAGTATATGTACTATATGTAAGTACAGGAAAACAAGTAAGAAGCAAAGTGAGATGCAGTAGCTGAATATACAGTGTTGAATGTGATGAAAGCGCAAAGCACAGAAGAACCATACGAAGCATCAGCCAAGCTGTGTGTCAGTTTCAAAGCTGAAGCTAGAAAACATCTAAGAGTAAAGTAGAATGAGATAAAGATTTTCAAGTGCTCACATCCATCATTCTGTCAGGATGGCAGGATACCAGAAGAGAAGTCCCATCTGCTTCCCAATAGAACTGGTATCATTGAAACAATCTGAATATCCAAGAAAAAATGAGTATTAAAGCAATCAAATCACATTTGCTTAAAAAAAAAAAAAAAAAAAAGGAAAGAAAAAGAAAAAGAAAAAAGAGGGAAAAAGAGGGAGATTTGATTTGCTGGCCAAACATAACAGATATCACTGATAACATTAGAGGACAAATTAACAGGAATGACAGAAACATGAAACGTCAGGACAGTTATCAGAAGGAGGATACTGAAATACAGTTACTGACATATTTTGGAGAAAATAAAAATAATCTACACAACGTGCCTTAATTGTCTTATGTTCGTGCACTAGGCTGATGTTATCATAGTGATAATGAAATACTGATCTCATTAGTGCCAGTGTTAGCGTGTTATCACAGGCTCTGTATTCCAGACAGTCAGGTTGCAATGCCTTTCTACTGTTGCTGCAGGAGTAGAAATTCAGTCATGTCACATCATTTAGCTAAATTGCTGAGGGTGTAAACAATTTACTGGAGGTGAGTGTGTGTGTAGACAATATCAGCTTGTGCATATTAATTGTCACAGTTAGCCTTTTCCCCGTGGATAAAACAGCATAATTTACTTTCTTCACTCACTCATCTGCTTAACATTAATGGTGAGTTGACAGATATACGCAGACAGTTGCTTCAGATAAGCTTGCGTGTTGTAATACTGTGGAACATCTGAGTTATTTTAACCTTGCTATTTCCCAAGCCTGTATTAAAAAAAAAAAAAAAAAAAAAAAAAAAAAAAAAAACACTAATCAATTATATACCGTATTGTCTTAGCACAGAGAAATATTGTCACATAATTTAGAAATAACCCTTCAGTTTAATATTTCAAAAAAACAAAAACAAATTTGAAAAGCTATTTTTTCAAATAAAAGAGCTTACAAATCTAATCTCAGATTTTTTTCAAGATCAAACCATATTCATGGAATAGTTATGGAACCACAGCAACTAAAGATACATAGCATTAATTGCAAAATACACCAGTGGATTGGTATTTTATCCATGAAATTCACACAAAGTGTATCCAGATCAAGTGCACACAAAACAGGTAATCATGGAAGATGGTGAAATTTGCTTACAATTGAGCAGTAGAACATAGAACATTGATGACCAATGGATAGTGAGGCAAGCTCTCAAATAATTCCAAAAAACAGAAAAAAAAAAAAAAACTTACAAGCTGTACCTTGAGAAAGTCTTGCTGCAGCATGGATCACGTAATGGCACAATTAAAAATTTTACAATGTTAAGATCTCAAAAACAAAGGTCTTATAAATCTTCAGAAAAAGTAGCTTTTTTAGATAATAAACTAAAATTGAGTGACTCTCAATGGTGTTCGTATTTTATTGGGAAGTTATTCAAGAATGTTAAATATATAAGGCAGTTACAATGTTTTCTTTTAGTGTTTCTGAAATGATTTTCTCAAAGTGAGGTAAAATGTGTATTTTGATAAAAACTTTTTCACTTATAAATCATTAAATGGTTGGTTATGATGAAACATTAGAAACTTCACCTTTCACCAAATGCTTGGTATAAAAGAGCACATGGAATGAAAAATAAGCTATCTTATACACTTAGGGACAGGAAGAGTGGAAGAGAAGAAGAAACTTTGGTTACTTATCCTTACAGTGCTTTTTCTCCAAGCTGGACACATGAGAAATGATTCAGTGTTTCTATCTGCACTTTCTCTACTACTTAGGAAGGGCAGAGGAACTGTAAGAGTCCTGGGAACAAGCCATAAGTACTCAGGATGCAGAATGGTGGTGGAGCTGCATAGACAAAATCACGGTGGAGATTTAGTGTTTGAGTAAGTTGATTAAGAGCTCAGAAAACTCAGAAACAGCATGAGCTAGGCAAAAAAACCCTTTTCAGTAATCATTCATAATCAATTATGAAGATGTGTTCACCAGTAAGGAATAGGAAATTCGCTTATACTCTTTTTGAAATCTTTTTTTGTAACTAATTTTTGGTTGGATTGGTCAATAAAAATTACTGGAAAACTGGCAAAGTGTCCTGATTTTCTAGGTCTGGGAGTACGA